AGGGGTCAAGAGATCTTTGTGACAAATATAAGAGTACGGATGGAAGGAATGAAAAAGATGAGGGCTGATAAGGTTTGAGACGTCCCTTAGGAGAGGTTGATGGAGTGAGGAGAGTCCGTGACAGATGAGTGAGGCAGTTTGGATCAAGAAAGCTAGTCCAGACCCTCAATCTAATGTGATTCTTGCCACGAGAGCGATATGAGGATGCGGAAATGAAGGGCTGAGGGAGAGATATAATAGAGAGAGGGGGTGCAAAATGGGAGAGATGAGAAACTGAATATGAGTACATGACTTCTGACATACAGGAGCAGACAGGAGTCAAGATGCCGAAATGAAGGCTTCTGGAGAAATCGACCATGACCTTGTTCACATTACACACAAATATAATTTGGTTTTTAAATACCATATTTTGGACTGATTCATTTTACAAGTGATGAAACCAAATCCATTTGTTCTGACAGCATAATTAATATCTTCTATACCTACATTTATAGCTGAAATAATGATTTAGATGTGCTATACGTGATTTTATACGAAGGATATCACTGAATTAGGTTTTCTGAAATATCAAACCTATTTTTGTGACTGCTTTCTGTAAGGTTATGTGTTTAGCCAATCAGAAAACTTGGTGCTTTCTGTCTGTCAATCATATTGTGAGATCACAGTGGAGTCTGTGTATGGGAGCGTTATCTAAAATTAAAACAGAAAACATAAATAAAACTATTTAAATATTAATAAAAATGACTATTATAGTATCTCGATACTAAAATGTCCATGCATGGCGCATCACATTCTATTTTATAAAAATCATTTTGTTACTTCTTATTTATGTTAACAATAATATACATAAGGATGTTCTGTGATACAGTTCTGTAATTAAGTGAATGTTTATTTAAATATGTTATTGTCATGTGTGATATCCTGATGGTGTTTTGTTTTTGTTTGCATGACACTGTCCACCATCTATATACGAGTATGGGCTATGTTTTATGAACAGATGACTTATAATGAAATCTGATTCATCGTGTGGCTTTCTGTTTTATCCCCTGTATTATCATGATCGTTATCAGTACATTTTAACTTAGAAAGCATAGTTGGTAGTTTAAGTGGTGTATTATATCACTTAATAAACTTAATATTTATGGTTATAGGTTGTAAATTAAAAGACACCAATGGCAATGACAGGTGCTGGTTTTTTACTTTACATTTCACATTATATATATATATATATGTATATGTGTGTGTGTATAAAGCAAATGCTGTGTAATTATCATTACAAATAATTTTGATAAATATATGTTCATATTTATTTTAAATATTCATTTTGAAATATGATCAGAAAATTCAGTCTGAATAACACTTTTAAAACTGATGAAAATATTTTTTGATTTTAAAGGTTCAGCTAGATATGACTCCATTAACCCCTGCTGTTAGATGCCATAACTACACACTCTCAGAATATGTCTCCATTCTCCAATACATGTATTCTGACAGTTCTTTCACCATATCCATCACTAATATTTGACTTTTGATGGCTTTTAAAAACATGGACATATTTTTCATGTTTAATTCCTGTCAATCACAGTTCACGATAGTTGAACTAGCGAAGGACTTTCTTGTGATGCTGCCATCAGCCAAGCAGTGTTATCATGATATCACTGAAATGAATAGGAAAGGATAGCATTCTCCAGGTATTATAGACCTCTTTGGTTCAGAGCACAAAAACTGAACAGATCTTAGTTGGAAATACCCAACAAAACGGTCTGTGGCACATGGACACATTTGAGTCAAACAATACACACAACCTCATTCTCTGATTTTCCCTCTGACTATCACTCAAAGTTAAAATACCATTCAAAAATAAAAGTAAAGAAATAAAAATCATGATAATAAAAAAAAGAGAACATGATCCTCTCACACCCCAGTCAAAAGACCCGGGGACTCGTGTTGGTGATGTGCAGGAAGGTAGCAGCATCATGACAGTGATCTCTCTCCCTCAGGACACATAGACTCTAACTGATAAGTGCCAGGGAGCAGGGGGAACCTATTCCGTTAAGGGTGTCTTCAGCAGAGCGAGAGGCCATCCGGCATCCCCTCAGAGCTCAGGCCGGTAATCTAACTCGACACAGTTGACATTACACACTGACGCCAGTTATGGAGAGCATCTCAAACTAACTGCAAGAGAGGATGAGTGCTTTTAGGTGCCCTGACATCCTGTTACAAATGATTATGTTTGGATTATTAAACTGAGATCAGAAAAGTTTCAACAACTTAAGCAGACAGTAAGAAACATGAAACGTAGAATTCGTATTTCATTAACATTATCTGACAATGAGCAATTATTATTATTACAGTCTTGGATATGTCAATGATTTGCAGCAACATTAATTCTAATGCATTATATATATATATTTTGTGTGTGCAGTGTCAGATAAAAAAATACACACTCATATTTCTCACACTCTGATATCCATACCAATACACCCACAGAATTATAATTGCATAATTTTAATTCATTTTGCCATTTTTGTTTTTGTTTTTTGATGGGGGTTGGGGGGTAATATTTGTTCCATAGGTCGAATTTAAAATGGTGTTATCAGGTGGAAAATAGTCCCCTCGAATAAATATAAATATTGCAGTTTTCATGGGTTTAAAAGGGGGTATGTATGTGTGAAATAGATTTATGAAACAAAATAAGGGTGAAATATTACAATTCCAATAAAAATACACATTTTAACCAAATTTATGCTGTTTGCATTACCAAAATTATCAATAATAAAAATAAAATTAAAAAAAGTGAAAAAGACAAAAATGTCCCTAAGGATGCACAAGGGTTAAATAATATGAACATCTTTTGATTTTAATAATGTATTAGAAAACGTTTAAATTATTAGCAAAGATTAATAGATGCTTTAAGTATTTTCATTGTTAGTTCATGTTAACTAATGTAGTTAACTACTGTTAACAAATGGAGCCTTTTTGAAACCAAAAAGCAGCTTCAGATATAGATTTTTATTTATTTATTTTTAATGTGCACAAAAATCAATAATATCCCTTAATCTATCCCTTCAGTGAAATTACTTGCACTCAGTAAATTGTAAATGACTGATCTGTGTAACCTGCATTTATCTCATGTCAGCCATGGACAGCAGACGAGGAAGTAATGAAATGGGAAAGGGCATAATTTTTTAATGATTGAGGACAGAAGATATGATACTTCAGGCTGTAAAGTAGAGAGGAAAAGATCAGGTCAGATTGAAGTCTCCGCACCTACTCCTGTTGTTGTTATTACTGAGATGAAGGCAAGACGGATTTTCCAAACCCCCCTCTAAACACCATGCAAAAAAAGAGAGGAAATACAATGAGACATTTCCAAAATGTCATATGGCTTAAGGCTGCTTGGGTCAATAGACAGAAGAGTTGGGCTAAACCTCTCAGGAATGGGCTTTGACAAGATGGACGAGGAAAGAAGCAAAGGTGATGAAGACCACGCAGCCAAAGGAAGAAGGTCAGCACGTCTGTCTCGGTTTTCAGCACCTGGTGTCTAGTTCTTAGCACCCAATGTCATCAGTGTGTAAGTCCGGTAATGCCACAGGGCACATGAACGATTCAGCACAGGCTCTTCCAAAGCACATAAACCCTATATGTCAATAAAAACTATTAGTATTATAATTAAACATATCTTGAAACGTAACTTCTCTGGCTTCAAAAACCAAAAAGTTTTGTTAAGTCAGAAGCAGAGACAATTTATAATTAATAATTTATAATTCATAGTAATAATGTAATTATGTGTTCTTAGTCAAAAGTGTGGAAGCTTATGGAGGCATTTATTATTTTTATAAAAATTAAAATAGATTTTAGCTTTTTTTTCCCAGCAATTTTGAGCCTTTTTTTACATTTACTGTAAATATTTTACCAAATCTCAGCACTAAGAAGTATAAGAGTGAATCAAGTGTTCATACTACACCATGCTATTCCATTACATACTATAAAATATTTGAAAAATGATTTGAATTATTATAGGTTTAATTATTCATTATTTATAATTATTCTGTTTTTAATTATTTTTAATTATTTTTATTTTATTTTATTACATATGTTATATTCTAAGCTAATTCACTTGAAAATATGAAGTGAAAGCAATTTCTTTTTTATTGCAAATTTATCTTCTTGAACTTTACTAAGCAGTTTGCTCTTTAAGAATATCACATTTTTGAGTAATAACTTGGCTTGAATTTCCTAACCCAATCTCATGAAAAAAAGAAAAAGAAAAAATAAGTTGGTGATTATTTATGAATTATATGATTTGATTTAAATTAAAATGTATTATTTTTATTTTTAAATATATATATACAATGAAGCATGAAGGTACACCCCTAAACCAAACCCTCAGTGGCTCATAACTAGACACAAATGAGATCTTATGAATCAACCACCAATTTGTTAAAACATAAAATAATTATGAATTCCCATCAGAGCGTGTTGCATTTCTTCAAATGTTTGAATTCAGGGTTTACAGTCCAAGTCTATTAATTATTATATTGAACATCTGTTGAAATCCCTCTTGAGGTGTTGCAGGTTGAGATGTCAATATGACAATCGCATGCTGACGACTCCATGAAGATACGTTAAAGGGCAGCCGTACATTTTAGGGAGGCGTCTCTTTTCTCTCTGCTTCATGTCACTCTCAGGGTTTGCCTGGCTGTTGACACGCTGTTGCATATGCTTGACTGAGCACTTGCATCCTCCATTGCCTCGCTCATAATTGCTTCTTAGTAATCAACTCCATTACAGCATTATGTTAATGCAGGCTGTGAAATGTGAGGTGCTGTGATGACTGAGTGATGTGATGGAGCTAAATGTTTGTTAAACTGTGTGGGGATCAGGAATTTGCCTCCACATTACATAAGATGATGGGGTAAGATGTGTCACTTGGCAAGCTGTGTTGCTCCCTTGATCAGGAAAATTATGCATAATTTTTGTTACATTATCATATCTGTCACGTGTTTGTTTCTGTTTAGTTCCTGTCTGCCCTTATTTGGTTCAGTTCCTGTTCTCATTTAGTTAATCATCTTTCATTAGTTTCCACCTATGTTGTATTAATCATCTTATTAGTCCATCGTTTGGTTTTGTGTAAATAGCCCTGCCTTTCCTCAGTTTCTTTGTTCTGTTTCCGTCATGTAAAAAGGTTGTTTTCTCCTGGGTTTTCCCAAGTGGATTTATTAAAAGACTCTGTTTATTTGATATCTGCCTCCTTCGCACTCCTTCAAGCTCCTTCGCCTGGCAACCCGTGACAGAAGACAGGACCTACCAAGAAGATGAACTGGGCTGAAGACTTACTTTCCTCCATCCGGCAAGATGGTCGTCCTCTGGAGCGATATGTGGAAGAGTTTGTGGAATTCTCCCATCTGGTGAGTTGGAGTGATCGTATGCTCAATGTTTGTTTCTAGATGGGACTGGATTAGGGAGTTATTCGTTTCCTGTCTCCTGATCGTAGTTTGTCCTTCGATGAGTCCATTAATTTAATTCTCTGTCTTAATGGTTCTGATTATATTGTGGAAGAAGTTAAGAGAAATACGAACAGCCCTCATCCTGTCCCATCTCATAAGCAATTAAGCACTCCAACTCACCCCAAGCCTGCTACCAAAACCTCCACATACTTGAACATTGGGATCATCTCCTTCGCTCCAGAGGCAACTCCAGTTCCAGAATCCGCTCCAGTCTTCAGACCAGTAAAAGTGTCGGCGCCAGTGCGCCCTCCGGAGTCGGCTCCAGTACATGTCCCTGAACTTATGGATATGGCGCTCCCTCCAGAGTTCTTGGCCCCTATCCTCTCACCACTGTCAGCTCCAGCACCTGAGTTCGCTCCAGTGTCGGCTCCAGCCCCTAAGCCTTCTTCGTCTCCGCTGGTCCCATCCAGCTCTCCTTCGTCTCCTTCGTCTCCTTCATCTCCGCTGGTCCCGTCCAGCTCTCCTTCGTCTCCTTCGTCTCCTTCACCTCCGCTGGTCCCATCCAGCCCTCCTTCGTCTCCTGAGCCCCCTGTGTTAGCGAACTCCGCTCCTCCAGAGCCGGCTCCTCGAAAGCGCCCTCCAGAGCGCCCTCAAGTGCCCGCTCCTCGAAAGCACCCTCCAGAGCGCCCTCAAGTGCCTGCTCCTCCAGAGCGCCCCCCCCCAGGATTCCTAAAAAAAATTTGTGGGGGGGCACATACCCATAGCCGAGCCGGCTAAGGTCACGGAGGATCCGCCATGGCCTCCTGAGTCCCCTGGCCCGCCATATCCCCCTGGGCTGCCAGCCCCACCATGGCTTTACGAACTGTCTGCTCCGCCCTGGAGGCTTTTCTTGTCTCCGCCCTGTTCCTGTCCTGTGCCCGCCTCCCCTTCCCGATGTTACAGTTACGGTGCGGGACGCACCTTCCGGGAGGGGGGCGATATCTGTCACATGTTTGTTTCTGTTTAGTTCCTGTCTGACCTTATTTGATTCAGTTCCTGTTCTCATTTAGTTAATCATCATTCATTAATTTCCATCTGTGTTGCATTAATCATCTTATTAGTCCATCGTTTGGTTTTGTATAAATAGCCCTGCCTTTCCTCAGTTTCTTTGTCCTGTCTCCGTCATGTAAAGAGGTTGTTTTCTCCTGGTCCCAAGTGAACTCGAAGTTTATTTGATATCTGCCTCCTTCGTATTCCTTCAAACTCCTTCGCCTGGCAACCCATGACGCATACATTTACAGCCAGCCTGTATCCCCTGATTAAAGGTACTGTACAAACAACCCTACGCTAAATATCAAATCCTTGACAAAACTGGAAAGAAAACCTGGGATTGCAATAACCTGGAAACGGTTTATGTTGTTGCAAGATGTGATCTGACTAAGAAAAGATCTGACTTAAAAAGAGCGATTTGGACACAATCTCTCATGAACTTGTATAAACATGCCAAGGAGTAACAATTACATTTTTTCATCCATTTCTTACAAATTTTTTTTATATGAATTCAGAAAACCAGAAATATAGAACACATACTCATATACTACTTTAATGGTACATTTATGTACCAATGAGAAGACAACCGTTTTTCTAAAGTTATTGTTAGTATTCTTAATTTTGTGTTTTTGTAATTCTATTCATATTTATGTCTATAGTTTTATTTCAATGTTAATTTGAGTTATTTTAGTACAAGTTAAATTAAATGAAAATTAGATGTTGCCTTGGCAAGTTTGGCAAAGTACATTTTAAAGTTTAAGTAAAAAATTTTTGTATTTTTTTTTTTGTAAATTAAAGTTAAATAATATTTATAATAATAAATAAAAGGTAAAAATAATATATTTAATATACACATGAAACATTTTTTGATTATTTGACAAATGTAGTGTACATAAAATTACTTTGAATAGTTACTTCGAATAGCCACACATAAGAAGAGCTGTCTGACAGAGTTTTTCACAAATAAAACTGCCAAAAAGAAAAAAAAAACACTATATGTAACACCGCAAGGTTCATTTATTATTTTACAGTCTGCTTTTCAAAGCCATGTGCATCTCATTTAGAGTGACAACCTGGAGTAAGGTCTGCACACTTCAATGCATCACATTGAATAGAGGTAAACACTAGGTGTATGTGTGTGTGTGTGTGTGTGTGCGCGCTGTCAAGCCCCCTACAAAATCAGAGCCCAAACACAACAGGAAGTGCAGCAGAAACAGTCCTGTCACTGATCACCGAGGCATGTATAATTCTCAGGTGATTATTCTTCGGCCCGAGGCATCATTACAGTAGTGTATCACATAATTTCTGCCTGGCTCAGGCACAGTTCTCCTACACCAAAGTCACGGGATCCTGGCCTGTCATGAGATCAGCCAGGCAGTCTCATGTGAGAGTGTGCAAATATATGCTATCTTCTTTACTATCACGCTTGAACAGGTCAGTGGAGGGATGGAGCTGGCTGCCGCACACTGAAATGGAGATGGAATCGGACAGGACTGGAGTCATGAGGAGCGGAGAGGGAAGTGATGATGCATGAAAGGCCCTGGATGACAATAACAACCTAATGATGGAAGTAATGATACAAGGATGATGGCAAATGCCACAATGCAGTCTTATCAGACAGATTACTATCACTGTTTTGCACACAGACGTACACTTGCACAAAGAAAATAATGCATGATGCAAGCTTATGAGTAATTTCCATTTAGAAGAATGCCAAAGACAAAAATATCGCAGTGGAGGAGGCAGCAGGGGTATTTAAAAAAATTTGTATTTTTTATATTCAGTATTTTATTTCATTTATTTTTATGTATTGCTTACTTGGATAAATACATGAATGCTATTTTATATATATATATATATATACAGTATATACAATACTGTTCAAAAGTTAGGATCAGTGAGAAATATTTTAAAAGAAATTTTAGAAGGAGGCATTAAAAAACTTTACGTTTAAAGTGACATATTAAAGTCCTTTCTGAAGAATCATGTGACACTGAAGACTGGAGTAATGGCTGCTGAAAATTCAGCTTTGCCATCACAGAAATAAGTTACACAGGTACTTTAAAAAAAATATTAAAACAGTCATTTTAAAATGTAATATTTCTTCACAATATTCATTTTTTACTGTATTTTTGATCAAATAATTGCAGTCTGGGCAAGAAACTTATTTCAAAAACGTTAAAAATTTTTACCAACCCCAAACTTTTGAACTTAATGTATATAGCTTATATCAACAAATCTGTGTAAACAGTCATGTGAAACCCAAACAACGACACAGCATATACTAACAATTTTTTACATTTTCTCATGTAAAGAAATGTTATAGAACTTATAGCATTCTTTTTATTGGAACAGGAATGACTAAAATCCATGGCTAATATTTTGGGTCAGCACGTACAATGTGAGAAGATCTGTGAGGCTGTGTGCACATGTTCTGCTGCCTCTATGTCTCTCAGCCCCTCGAGATTTCCATGTGTTTGTGGTGTCGTTTCCTGCCCACGGTTCTGCCTTCTATCCTCATGTGTGACATTCAAGTCACAAGGATCTCAGAGAAACAACACTCTTCACACCAGACAGCCCTGCAACTGCCATCACATTCACACTCTCTGATCCACACAGAAATGGACAAATCCTCAGGGACGGCCTGTTTTCTTTTTTTCCTTAACACTTCAGCTCTCTCGCTGTTCTTTAGCTCAGCACAGTAGCACAGTCGAGTCTCTGAGGCTTAGATTTGCAAATCATTTACATTATTTCCACTTAATTTCTTTCCCAAAATAATATATTCTGATATAGCTAGTGTCCACAGTAGCTCCACAATCTACAATTTATGCTGTCATAAATAAAAACATAAAGTCTAAAGACAGCAACCATTCTAAATTATGGGTAAAGATTTGCATTGTTAAGGCAAAACCCCATTAAAATGTGCCAGGTCGGATAATAGGTATGTCAAGCAATGTGAAGTTACCTACATTCCTTTTGACTACATATCTTCCTGTCATATTAAGAAATAAGAAATGGCAGAGGCCTCTGGACATAACCTATAGGTGTTGGTGCCCTACTTTGTCGGGCAACCTGACAGACTAGATGGCTCTAGAAGGATTCTGAATAAGAAAATGAAAACAGTTTGTGGGGCATTGTTTTCAATTATGAGTAGGAAGAAAGATCAGCAAAAAATCTTTTGTAAAAGAGGGGAAATAATCAGTTAATAATTGATAGTTTTGATGAATAATAAATCACAAACACAGATGCATTCATGCTTCCGAAAAACAGAACAGACCCTTCTTGAGTTCATTCAGCAAAAAGAAAGGGGGGAAAGGAGCAGGCCTTTCCTCTCAGCTCACCTCATCTCTCCTTGTCTATAATTCAGTGACCTTGAGATATTTCTTCCCCTGAGCTCACCACTTTTAGCTCTCATGCCAACGAAAAGCAAGGGCTCCCTTCTGAATAAGAAGTAAACTGACAGCACAATACTGGCAGTTATTTTGTGTGTTTGCTTCAAAATTAAAATGAATCCAAAAGCAGGACCGACTGAGTTGCGCATTTCATAGCGACCCATAGTTTAGTTCCTGAAAGGATCTGTGTTTTAGAAAAAAATCATTTGATTCAGATTGAATGATTCAATGACTCACTCATAAGTCTGAGTGAATCAGTGGCTGTGTCACAAAGTTTAAGCTGCTAACTTGTTGCCCTGCTGCTTTATCAGGCAATTACTTTGCAGTCAGCATTTGTGCACGAAGGCACTTCAGCAAACTGATTTTGGGAGAGACCTCTGAGGCAGCATGACGGTTTAATGGTCTACAACAAAATAGAGTAAGCTTAAGACTTAATTATTTTAACATTAATTTCTAGAAATAACATCAAAAGAGAAAACATTGGTCAAAAACACATTTTACACATTTACACACAAACAGACCACCAACCACAACTTTCAGACACCATATTTAGTTTTTTATAGCTCAACTGTCACAAAATGGAATGCACATGATTGTGGGATTTCAAAAGGATACATCTATGCTGCCTTCAACAATCAATCAGATGAAGGTATCTCAAAAGACAGGAAGTAACGTTGCTAACAAGCTAACGTTGGATTCAGACGTGCCTTGATGCCTTCCTACCTTGGAATGCATTCTTCAAGGCAGAATTTTTACATTTTTGGAAGCAGCCACTGTTTTTGGATGAAATGCTTGAGTGAATAATTCAATGACTTGCTCACTTGGTTTGTTCCTGAATGAATCTGTTGAGTGAATGATTCAATGGCCTCACTCATAAGTCACTTGTTTAATTCCTGAACGAATTAGTCTCTTAGAAAACTTCAGTTGAGTGAATGATTCATTGACTCACTCGTTAGTGACTTGTTTTGTTCCTGAATTAATCCGGGGTTTTTTTCAGAATGAATCAGTTACTCATTGACTCATATATTGATCGATTCATAAGGACAGCACTTGCCACCAAATACTGGTGTATCAATGTGGAATCCCCAGCACTAATGCACAGACTGACAGTCTGTCTTGAATGTGCAATTACAGATAAGTGGAGTGATACAAACAGTGAAAAGTCCCAGTGCTGTGGACTGTGTATTACTTCTATAGCAGGCTCATATAATATATGATAAACACTATTCAGTTTTGAAATATTCAAGGTTTAGTGGAAATGTGTGTGTGTGTGTGTGTGTGCATACGTGCGTGTGTGTGTGTGTGTGTACGTGCGTGCGTGTGTGTGTGTGTGCTGAAAAGCACACTGAAAAGTATGGGGAGGTTCAGAGTTGCTCTAACAGATTAATTCCTGCTGTCTGTCTACTTTATACATTTAAAGCATTTGCATTATCCGTTTATTTAATAAGCAAGCTCTGCTCTTTAGTTTTTAATAGACATGAATGCTTTTCCTGCTGCTCACCATGCCTTGACAAAGCAGCTTAGCATCCTCCATACTCCAACATCACCACATTGTGGGGGACTCGGCAGACAGGGATGGACTCTCAAACGGGTGAAACAACATGCCTGGCAGGCAATGCCTGTTTACTGTCACCTGTCAGCTGTGCAGTGTGTACTGCTTTGCGGGTGGCTTGCAGTGTGTGTCAGCCATGGAAATGAGTTTGGCATGCCACATGTCTGACAAATTGGGGCCCCCTGGCCCCTGATGCCTGGCACGAGACACAGTGGACCAGTGGGCATTAGTCTGTGCTTGACAACACCCCACCTAGCTGACCTTTTCCAAAACTGACCTCAAGCTGCCACCAATCAACTTCCAGCTCCAGTATGCTGGTAAACAATGTGTCTCTCATCAAGCTAAAAACACATGGCAAGATTAATCCAACACATGCATTTCTGAAACTGAAATTAATTTTGATTTCTCATATGGACAATACAAATAGTACTGGGTACAGTCATTATAGTCATTAAACAAGATCAGTAATATATATCTGCAAAATTTTGTAAAAATTAATATTGTGTATTTATGTGAAACGTTAGATTGTAAAATGTTGAAGTCACAGCTCAGAAATTACTTTCTGTCATGTTTATTTCGACAGCAGAGTTGTTATTGTAAACTAAAACTATTCAAAATCATTTTTTGTATTTAAAATAAAAAAATATATAATAAAATAATTCACTAGATGAAAACTGAAACATATAAGCTAAAACTAAATTTTTTAAATGTTGCTTAGGCAATTAATGGAGATAAATAAGCTGAAGTTGAAGTACTAAAAAAAACGACTAAAACCAAAATAAAAAATAGAGCAAAAATATAAATATTAAAAAAATCAGAAACAAAAAAAAAAGACAAAAACCCATACCAAAATTATTAAAACTTAAACTAAAAGGGAAAGTTAAAATATTGGCAAAACGTTATGAGTCTGACCAGTCTTGAAGAAAAGAAATTAGATTTTTTAAGACTAGTTTAAGCAGTTTATGCAACCGTGGCCCCTGGTTTCACAGTCAGGGCTTAGACTAAGGGTGCTTTCACACTAGCACTTTTGGTGCGCACCCGGGTTTGATTGACTTCAGAGTTCGGTACGTTTGGATGATGTGAAGGCCAGGTTTAGGCTATAGTTCAATTAGGACATTTAAGTATCTTTTATAAACATTCCTTAGAAGAAGAAATTTTTTTTTACACATTACTGGTGTGCATCTTGAGACAAATCAATGGCACTGATATATTTTAAGATATGTCAGTGCAGGTTTCTTTCAGTTAAAACAGCTCAGACTTGGCTTAAAGGGTTAGTTCACCCAAAAATGAAAATAAGCCCATAAATTACTCACCCTCAAGTCATCCTAGGTGTATATGAATTTATTCTTTCAGACGAATACAGTTGGAGCTACATAAAAAAATTGTCTTTAATCTTTCAAGCTGTTTAATGCCAGTCAGCAGGTGTTGCATGCATCAGTCCAAAAGAAGTTAAATAAAAAGCGTCCATCCATAAAAAAAGTGTCTCATACGGCTCCAGGGGGTAAACAAAGGCCTTCTGTAGCGAATCGATGCGTTTTTGTAAGAAAAATAAGCATATTTAAAACGTAATAATCACTTTAATGTAGCTTGCGCTCACTGTTGTACACTGGAAGCAGTTCCAGGGAAATGACGTATGGAGGTCAGCTTTGCGCATGCGCCGCTCAGAAGTGTTGAACGCGGAAGCACAGGGGATAGATCAAAACAAAACAACGTCACGAATTAGTAGTACAAAACGAGGATTTGTAAAGAAGAATGTCGGAGGATTTCGATATAAGCCAAGAGG